GGGGAATTGTTATACACTAATGAGAGACAAATTGATCTACGGCTGACGTCATTCACCCTGGACATACAGACCATTGTGAACTAACATTCGGCCCAGAGATATGTGGAGCATGAAGTATAGTCTATATCCACTGGAATACGTTTCAAGTATGACGCATACGAATGTGTGACCACCCCATATTCACGTACACGGTTTCGCATTCGTTTGACGTTCATAAATCGTTACGTTTTTTGTGACCACGTCTTAAAAGGGATTGTAAAGAATTTTTCTTTTTTATGTGTATCGGGGATATTGATAACACCAATTTGCAACATTCCCATTAGCAATCAGACGTCTGTGGTTACTACAATTCCACTAATATCGATATGCCTTTTTACCGAGGTACCCAACCTAAAAGTAAAATAAAATCTTCACGTTATATACTCAATTTTGTTGGTGTACATTATCATTTACATTTCTTATATGTGAGAAATACTTTCATTAAAAGAATCCTTATCAGGGTGCCAATCACATTCGCCACTTGAGGAGATTTTGGGGAAGGATTTTGTGGTATTTTTCTCCTCAAGATAATTTTGAAAATTAGTTAGTTAGTTGTTCACCCCTTAAGAGAGCTTAGGGGGATTCTCCCCAAATAAATTTGACAAAAAATAAGGTTGATTTGCGTGCATGCGCAATTGAAAGAATGAATGTTGTCGGCGTGAGTAAGTCATTTTTTTCTCATTATTCCTGTGGATAATCCGGATGATCAATGCCATGAGTTTTGGCCAAAGAAGAATCATTGCGAACCTAGTAATTATCATTGCTGTTTCTTTCCTTTATTTTTCATATCATATTTTTATGATTACATTCTTTTCACGAATCATCAATTTTTAAAAAGTGCCCAGATTACTCTGCAACCTAGAGGTTGGAAACACAGGCTTTATCACATTTATCACTATTAATGAGGTCATTAAACAATTACTTTTAATGGAATTGCATAAATCACAGACGTCTGTGCTATTCTTACTATCAGTGATGTTATAAGTGTGTCCCCGATTCACATATAATTTTGAGAAAACTCTTTACAAACCCTTTAATATGCCAAGATAAGTCCAACATGGGTTCAAAGTAAAAACGCAGTTATACGCGGAAGATGTATGCACAAAATGATTCAAAGTCTTCAGAGAACTTTAACATGTACAAAACTTATCAATTTAAAAATCGTAAAACGTTGGCATAGACTGAATATACATGTATATTAGTCTTTAGTAAAAGTTATCTACAATTACTCGAAGCTTTACTTCCAAT